AAAAGTCCCAATATGCACAGGTTCAAGGTCTCTTAAAACTATTTTGTCCAATTAACTCTTAGAATATATTTTATTTCTACCTTTCTACTAATAACTAGTTATTTGTCTGTCATGCAACATTTGCATTGAGGCTCTTTCTAACCAATCACTTGGTGCTTGCAACAGTGCAGAAAATGGAGTAGGTGAAGAACAAGAAGGAGATCAGACAACACCCAAAATCCTCCATCTTGTATTCTATCTACCTCCATACTAAACCCCCAAAACTCTAAGTTTTTCACCCTGTGATTTCACACACTCGTATATCCCGATTCATCCCAAAGTCTTGGAAGCTTTCTCCATGGACGAAGGTTAAGAGCAGTGTTCTCCTGGGGATCAGGACTTCTCAGGACAGGCAGAGAAACATTCCCTGTGCCCTGGGTTCCAACACCTGGGTTATCAAGACTGTTTTCAGCACAGAGCCAAAACAGCCCTGTCCAGCAGCCCAGAAGAAAACTCACTCCATCCCAGCCCAAACCAGGTGATAAGTGCTGGCGCACCTTGCAGGACACAAGGCCCCTAAATCTCCTTTGCAGCAAGGATTAGCTGCTGTCCTCTTAATAGGCTCAGGAGCTCCTAATCCTGGTTTTGTGGTGGTTTGCCCTCCTTGCCTCGGGCAGGCACAGGCTCTGCTTGCGCAAGGAGCTTCTCCAGGGAGGAGTGCTGCTGGATGATCCAGCCCCCCCTCCTGGCTGGAAAACTCTTGGACAGTGGCTGCCAGCGCCCAGCTGATGGCACTGCGTCCCCTCAGCCTGCCCGGCCGGAGGAGAAGCGATTCGCCCATGCCTGGCTGGAAAAGCCTGGTTTCTGCTGGCCGAACGAGTCTTTAATCCGCCGGGCATTTATATTTAATAGTGTTTTTACCCGATCCTTCTAGGTGGCTGCAACTCTCTTCACAAGAGGACTGCTGAATCTTGGAACAGAGAGCTGCTAAAGAAAGATGCTAACAGCTATTACAACGAGTCTTTAATCCGCCTGGCATTTATATTTAATAGTGTTTTTACCCGATCCTTCTAGGTGGCTGCAGCTCTCTTCACAAGAGAGAATCTTGGAACAGAGAGCTGCTAAAGATGCTAACCGCTATTAGAAATTAATCAGATGTGACATCATATAATTATCGGGTACTACAGAGAAAATTTCTGGAATGCCATGGCCACTGGGGCTGAGGCTGGCTCGTGGCTTTCCAGGGCTTTGGGCTGGTAGCTGGCATGTCCTCTTCAGAAGTAGCTGCAGTTTTGCTCAGGTCAATAGAAGTTGTTGGGCACGTTTGGACAAGTTTGTCAAAGGTCTGAGGAACAAAGACAAGCCAGGGAGATGGAGGGTGTGAATTTGCAAGCACTTCTGTTGGCTTTGACATGCCCTGCAGCATCCCAGGGCTTCTGCCACATCACCACAAGACCCGAGTCCAGGTTTGGCCTCTGAATGAAACGTAGACAAAGTGCTGCTTGTATTTATATTTCTTCTTGTCTTGTGGAGAATGAAGTGCTAACAAGGGACCCTGCATCTACCACTTCCACTTTAATGGTACTTGAAGAGTGAAGTTCAAACCCACACTACACGAGAGTCCTTGCTGAAGTAATTTTAAGGTAATATGGTTAAAGGTACTTGAAAGTGCCTTACTGCCCTCCCCTTTGTCTGCTGAGGGGGTCAGAGCCAAGAGCAGTTGAAAATCCCACCAAGGCATTTTGTAGGGAGTGGAACCCCCGGTTTCCTCCACAGAGAGAGGAACTGCAGCAGGGATGTGGGAGGAAGTAGCGCTCACACTTTCACTGTTGCCAGCAGAAAAGCAAGGAGATTAAAGCTCAAAATAGCAGTAGAACATGGCCACCAATCTTGCAGGGCAGAGATTTCCATATATGTCACCATCAGGGCAAGCCAGAGTTGGAGACAGTTTCCGTTCTTTTTTCCTTTCCCCCAGGTAATGTTTAATCTGTGAGTCAGACAGATTTTATATCTGGCTTGACAAACGACAAAGAGAAAGAGAGAGGTGGAAAGGCAAGGAGCTTTGTCCCAGGTTTCAGGAGCAGGGCTGGGGTGTGCAGCTGTGGCTGTGTGACACCTCAGGTCTGAGATGGAGGAGAAGTGACACGGAGGGAAGGTCTGGGTGGAGGAGAGGTGTGGATCATACATGGTGTGCAAGGCTGGGGCCATGGGATTGATCTTGGAGAATTATGGGGCAGCAGAAAAGAGAGGGAGGCACAACCAGCAAGGGTTAGGTGAGAGTTTGTGGACAGAAGGGGCTTAAGGCAGATAATGGAGAAGGAAAGTGTCAGCAGAAGGCCAGACTGAGTTTTACATGTGGCATGAAGACCTCCTGTGTGTCCAAAGAAAATAAAAAATTAGGACTACAGTGACTGAGTTAAGGTAAAAAGCAAAATTCAGGGTATGTGAGCCTGGGGGACAGGAAGAGGATTACTAAAAGGCTGAAAGTTGCATTTCTGCACCTCTGCAAAGGCAGTGTTGTGTATTCTTGTGTGCCCTCTTAGAAGAGCAGCAGTGGATGGTGGACCTCACCCCTCAGCTTCCCAAACCTTGCAGGGATAAAGATTGGCAGCAAGAAGAAAACTCCACAGCATGGTTGGGCATGATAAGGTAACAGAAATCTGGGGAGCAGAAAATGGGTGTTCTGACCCTGTCCTATGCTTTCTGTAAATGAAACAGGCAGAAGATGACCTTCGTGTCAAAGGCTGATTCTCTGCCACCTCTTGGGGAGCAGCAGCTTCAGTTTGGTCACACAGGAGCCTGGGAATAGCTGGGAGACAATCTTCTCTTCCATCCTTCCTTTTTCTGGCAGCACTCCTGGGCTGCCTGCATGCAGGAGCACTGAGCCACACAGCCCAGCTCACTCAGAACAGGGCTGTCCCCAGCAGCAGCTGGTCCAGGAAATGCCTTTGAAGACTGGAGACTGACTTGGGATTATTTTTCCTGGTCATGTCATGGGCTCTCAGGACACTAACTGCCCTTTGCTGGTTTGTTAGAGGCCTGGGACAGATGTAAAAAAGAGCTGTGTGCTCTGGCAGGGGAAACCAGAGGAGGAAAAAAAGGTCACCATTTCCTTTCAGGGAGCTGTACTCAGCCTCCAGTTGGAACAGTGGGAGCACCATTGCTGTGGGGCTTCCAAATCTGCTGCTACGTATCCATGCATGCTGTGGGCAGCAGTTGTACACTGCTAGGACACATTCACTAATGAGCTCTGAGCTGCTAGTAAGATCCAGCAGCCTCAGAAAATTCAATTTGCAAGGATCTGCAGCAAAATGAGCAGGTCTGGTTTGGTTTCTTGATCATGCGTAGGGTAAAAAGCAGGCCAGGAGTGTCCCAGAATAATAAGTGTGGGTCAACACACACAAAGTTGAAGCAAATGCAATTATTTATGGAGGATTTCACAGAGCTGAGCCTAACACTGGGTGGCTGCAGGTCCAGGAGGGGAGCTGTGGGCAGCCTAAAACCTTTGCAGGTGGCTTTCATAACCATGCTCTCCTGGCTGTGCTGGGAAAAGGGTACCAGACAGAAAGTTTGCTCTTCAGCAGTGGTCTGAGCACAGCACCCTGCAGGGAAATCCCTTTTGCTGGCAGCCCACGATGAAAATTGCTTCCTGGCTTCTTTGTGACACTGCTCAGATAAACACTCAGTGAGTTTCAGGGAATATGCATTTACTGGCATGCTGCTTCCATGTCAAAATTACCCAGCAGAGTGTTTAAAATGGGGTTATGGTGAGGCATTATCATACTCATTGGTTTTACTTGCTATTTAGTCGTTGTGTATTTCACAGCCACATCACAACGGGTGGCAGTGTAGATTATATTTCCCATTTCTCGTGGTGTTAAACACTTCTCTGTAATGAAAAATTACATAGTGATATAACATTATTATCATTACTTTAGGGCAGCTGGGGAGCACCAAAGCCCACTGAAGCTTTAGCACAGGCTATAAAGACTCCTGGAGAAAGAGTCAGGTTTGGTGTTTTGTAGTATGACATAGACCCATAGCAAAGCAGGTCCCATGGATACCAGAGGGTCTACTGAATCTGTAGCATTTTGAGGGAAATGTAAAAGATATCAACAATTAAATAAATAGTCCTTCATAATCACAAGTGAAGGAATGTATTCTGTGACAGCCAAACTGTTGTGGCAGCCCTTTATAGATAAAGTTAATTTGCTGTGATATTTTTTTCCTCCATTTTAACAGGTAACAGGTCATTAGAAATTGTTTCTCAGAATTTGAGGGGTTGATGCCCCCGAGTGCCCCGATAAGCCCTGACCCCCAAATTTGGGCTGCCACAGTTCTGGGGGTCCAACTGAGCCCAGCCTCCCCTCAGGAATGGGTGTCCCAGCCCTGGGGGTGCTGCAAAGTTCAGGAGATGCCCTGACAAAAGAGAATATCCAACCTGGGGGGTGTCCCACAGCCACCCCAAGTGTCCCAGGGCTCCTGCCAAGCCAGCGTGCCCAGGAAAGAGGATCCCATGGGGATCTGGGGCCACACTGCTGCCAGCCCACCATGCAGGAACGGCAGCCAAGGGGCCAAAATTTGTCCCAGCCCCAGCCACCTTGTCCCTGGGCAGCCATCCCCGGCAGGCAGAGAGAGCTCGGGAGCCGCGTTTGTTCTCCTGCAACGGGAGTTTATTGACAGAGACTGGAAAAAACGGCACTAACAACAGACTAACACAAAAAATATTCATAGCAGTTCACACAGAAATATGTAAAATGAGCAAACAACAAATGTACCCCTAACCAAATATACCAATATACCAAATAACCAATAATCAAAATTTCATAGCAATGAACACAAAAATATTTATAACAGTAAACATAAAATATTTGATGGTAAACACAAACATATTTAATGACAAACACAAAAATATTTATGACAATAAACATAAAATATTTGATAATAAACACAAAAATATTTGACGATAAACACAAAAATATTTAACGACAAACACAAAAATATTTATAACAATAAACACAAAAATATTTATAACAAGTAACACAGAAATATTTATAACAATAAACAAACAAATAATTACACCAAAAATGCATAACGATAAACACAAAAATATTAAAAATAATAGACAAAAAAAATTACAGCAATAAACAAACGCAGAGACCCAGTCCTAACACTAAATATCACTAAATATGCCCAAGCCGAGGTGCATCTCTAGCCAAGGGAATCCTTGCTGCCATCCCAGCTCCATCGTTCCCCCGAGGGGCTCACAGGTCCCGCCCGCGGACGAAGAGCGCCCGCCGGCCGCGCCGGCTCTGTCCGCGGAACTGGCGCAGCTCCTCCTTGAACGCGGGGTGCTCCATGGGCCGATAGTCCCGGGGCTCGCAGTGGCCCTGCAACCCACAGCTCCGTCAGCCCTCGCGGCTCAGCCCCCGGCCCGGGACAAAGCCGGAGCCCGGAGATCCCCTCTCGGAGGCAGAGCCGCCCCTCCCCACTGCCCCGTGCCCCCCAATTCCTGCCCTCCTGCCGCCGGCAGGGACTCACCGGGAACTGGAAGAAGAACTCGCGGTACCCCCCCTTCAAGACGTAGAGCTCGGGGTAGTGCAGCTGCGGGTACTCGTGGCAGGAGCGATCCTTCTCCCGCAGGAATTTGCACCTGTGGCCGGGCAAAGCCCACGGCATCAGCCCCCGGCGGGGATCGGGGGGCTGGCACACCCCGATGTGTCCCCCCCCGAGCCCTGGCTTACATTCTGGGCCCCCGCTCAACAGAGAATTCGCAGTGGAAGATGAGGATCACCCTCTTGCCGGTGTCCTGGGGCACGATGGGACGCTCCAGCAGGAATTTCTCCACGTCCTGCTGCAGCGGCAGGTTGACGGCGCCCTGGGGAGGAGGAACACGAGGCGCCTTTTCCCCTCTGCCTCCAGCTTCAATTTCTCCAGGATGCTGCCCCCACCCTCATGCTCCTCTTTCCACTTGGGAATCACTTTGAGGGGGCGGCTTGGCGCTTCTCAGGGGCTGCTCCATCCCTCCGGGCGGCTCGGGACCCTCCATGGGGAGGGGCTGCTCAGTCCCTCCGGGATCTCAGAGGGGCTCTGGAGTGCTTCCCTCCCCTTTGGAGGGGTTGCTGAATCTCTCGGAGGGTATTCAACAGATCCCGGGGGGATCCTGAATCCCTATTGTCAGCACCTCGGACACCCCCCTTCCTCCCGGCCCCGGGGCCCCGCGGGGGCTCTGACCTTGACGTGGCCGCCCTCGTACTCGTAGGGGTACCGGCAGTCCACGACGACGCTGCTCTCGATGAAGCTGCTGTAGCACCTCGACAGCACCTTGTCCAGCTGCGGGGGGAGCGGGTCACCAACGGGGGACACACGGGGGACACACGGGGGCGGGGACAGGCAGGCCACCCCTCGGGGGGGGCTGCGGAAGGGTCGCTGTCCTCTTACCGTGCCAGGGGAGATGTACTTCAGGCCCGGGTCCTTCCCCTCCACCGTCGGCAGGAGGTGAGGCTGGAGGAGAAAAGCCTGGGGCTCATCGCCGTCCCAGGGGCACTTCCCGGGGGTGGCACCTGTCCCCCCCAGCCCAGGAGCCCCCAGTGGCCGGGGAAGGGACAGATGGACGTGCCTGTGGCACGGAGCAGAGGAGCAGTGACGGGGCTCTTCACCCCCTGCAGGTGCTGCAGCCCCAAGGCCCCGTGTCCCCAAGCAAGGGCCACCAGCTCGCTTTGGGCTCTCTTTGGCGGCACTGCGGGGCTCTGATGCTGGCCCCTGCTCAGAACAACGGGGACAGCGCCCCAGAGCTGCCCCATCCTCGTGGCCCTACCTTGGAGAAGTCCCCAATGAGCTCCTGGTCATCGCTGGCCAGCAGGTTCTCGACCTCCTCCAGCCGGGCATTCCTGCAAGGCTCCGGCCACACTCCCTGCGGAGGCACCAACCAGAGACACCCGCAGGTGTCAGCAGGGGCTCTGGCACAGCCGGGCTGTGGCACTGTCCTGCCAGGGACACGCTGCCTCTCCCCCCACACCTTCCCCATCACCCACCGGCTCCAGCGATGCCTCCTGCTCAGGGCTGCCGGCCACCCTCCTCTGCCGCCTGGCACTGTCAGGGCTGTCCCTGTCCGAGGGAAGTCCCCGCTTCGGGACGGGCCCGGGGACACCGCCGGGCACCGAGGGCGAGCGGAAGAGCTGCCGGCCCTGGCCGCGCTTGCCCGGACGCTGTGGGGAGAGCCCGCGCCGCTGCTCACCAACCTGCCCCCGCCCCAGGGACCTCCGGCCCCAGACCCCCCTTTGGAGGGGGGACCGTGGGGCTCCGTGCACTGCCAGAGGTGGCCACGTACCAGCTTTGCCTCCTCCTTCTTTATCACTGGCGTGGTCACCGGCTTCTCCATGCCCTGGGGCGCGGTGGCATCACCCTGCCACGGCAGCAGCTGGGGGAACTTGGTGGGGAGGCAGAGGAGATGGTGAAGGGGACAAGCCCGGCCAGCTGCTTCCCACCCCCAGGCAGGAACGGATCCCTTGCCCAAGGCCATCCTCGCAGCTTTGAAGTCAGGGGGTGCCCGTGACCCCCCAGCCCGCCCATCTCCCACATGCACACGCCTCCCGCAGAGGCAGAGCGGCAGATGCCACTTGATGGCCCATGATCACCCAGCCGTGGTTCCTCCGGGCGCTCCAGCCTCTCTCACCAGCAGCTCTGGCGTGCCGCATGGGCTCTTGGCAAGGAGGTCCCTCCTGGCAGCCCCGCGGCTCCGCTGGCCCAGCCTCTGCAGCTTCCTGGGGACAAAGCCCTCCTGCAGCGGGGGGACACGGCGTCAGCACCCCTGTGCCCCCTCCCTGACGCCCCCAGCTCTCGCCGTGCCCCTCACCTCATCCTCGCTCTGGCGCTGCCGCCTTCTGTCCCTGCGCACCTGGAGCTGGGAGATGTCCTGCAGGACGGGGCTGGCTTCCAGCTGGCACTGCTGCGGGATAGCCAGGGGGTGAGCGGTGCTGCACAGCCTCGTCCCCTCTCTTGGCTCCATTCTCCCCGTCCCGGCACGGCCCGAGACTCGGCAGGACCCTGCACAGGCTCCAGCACTCACCGGCAAGGAGCCGATCCTCCGGCGAAGGAGCTTCCTGCTGCAAGAGCCGGGAAAGGAAAGCATCGAATGACTGCAGATGTCCCGCATCGCTGTGTCCCACCCCTCTGCCATTGTCACCTCCGTCCCCTATGTCCTCAGGGTGGGGAAAGGCCGCTAAAGGGCTGTCACAGCTCCCCAAAGGGACGTGGGACAACGGCACTTCCAGGCACCGGGCAAACATCAATGGCATGAGTGGGACTCCAGGAGGGACACGGGGACAGCCTGGCTTTTGGGTCTGAGACAGGGACAGCCCGGACACGGGGACAGCCTGGTTTTTGGGTCTGGGAAAAGGACAGCCCGGGCACGGGAGCAGCCTGACTTTTTGGGTGTGGGATAAGGACAGCCCGGACACCGGGACAGCCTGGCTTTTGGGTCTGGGACAGGGACAGCCTGGGCACGGGGACAGCCGGGTTTTTGAGTTTGGGACGGGAACAGCCTGGCAGTCATGTCCTGCCGCAAGGGACAGAGCCCCTCCACGTACTCTTTGAGAGCTCTCCCAAACTCCGCGATGCTTTTCTGGAAGCTGTGGAGAGAGCAGAGAGGGGTTTTATCGGTGCTCCACCCGCGTCCCCGCCCAAGCAGCTCATGGTGCCAAGCTCAGACACAGACTGGGGGTCACAGCCCCAGGCTGAGCCGGGGCCCTGCTGCTCGGGACAGGGACAGGGGCTGTCCCCGGGGATGGGGGGACACCGAGCGCCACAGCCGCGGGAGGGGCGGCCCCCCGTGCCCCCTGCTCGGGGGGTCCCGGTGCCTGCGGGCGGTGGGGACGGGACAGCGTCAGCGCCTCGGGTGCCCTGAGCCCCTCCTTGCCGCGGGCAGGAGCCGAACCATCCCAAAAGAGTCCCAAAAGCGCCCTTGGGCACGGCCCCGCGGCTGTGGGGAGCCCCGCGTGGGGCGGGCGGACAAAGCCCCCTCACCTGTCCCGGCCCTCAGCCGTGCCCGCCGAGGACAGCGGCGACACGGCCGCCAGCGGCACGGGCAGCCCGCGCAGGGACATGGCCCGCGCAGGGAGGGAGCTCCGGAAAGTGGCGGGGGACAAGAGGTGACACGGGGAGGTGAAAGTAGACGACGGGCGAGAGGCGTGTGTTGCTGTGAGACGACGCGACGCGCCCAGCGCCCACAGCCGACTGCGCTCCTGTTTACAGCGCTAACAGCAATAACAACAACAGCGCCGCCCGCAGCCAATGGCAGGCCGCGGCGGGCGCGAGGCGACGCCGCCGGCCAATGGGAGCTGCGCGGGGCGCTTGGGGGCGGAGCCGCAGCCGGCGGGGGGCGGTTTCGAAGCGGGGTCCGCGCGAGGGAGGGGGCGTGGCCGACGGGGAGAGGGGCGTGGCCAGCGCTCTCCCCACACGCGGCGGGGCCGGGCCGTGTCACTGCCGGCGCCACGCTCGGTGGCTGTCGTGTGCCGCCTGCAGGGCAACGGAGTGCTGCTTTTCACCCAGCCCTGACAGCCAGGGCCACGTCCAGTCGCGAGAAAGCAAGGTTGAATTTTTTTTTTTTTTTTTTTTTTTTTTTTTTTTTTTGTGGTGGTGGTGGTGGCGCTTCTGTTTTTCAAGGCATCACTGTGTGTGTGGCCTGCTCCGTTTACCCTGCTGAAAAGTCTCATTTCTGTGTTAAACTGAAGCAAAATCCGTTAATTGCCACCTGTGCTTAAGGGTACTTGATTTCTTTCCTCTTGAAAGCTCGCCCTTGCTGTTGAGTCCTGGGTGTTTATTTCCTGTGTGGTTCCAGCCTCAGTTTCCTCATGGATGTGCCCAAACAGTTGGAATTTTAAGAGGTGAAGACTGAGGGGGGAAAAAAAAATCATAACCTAGAACTAATCTCAAGTGTTGGACTGTGCCTCCCTTTTCTCCTAAATACAGATCAAGCCTGCCCAAACTCCTAAAGGAGTTTAGCAACACGAAGTTGTAAAACTTAAAAAAAAACCAAACAAACAAAAAAACACTTCAAAAAACTTCAAAACTGTACAAACTGGATACAGGGTGTGAAAAAACACTCCGTGGGTGTTTGGAAGGCACCCTGTCGCAGTGCTGAGAGCCAGCAGCTCTGACACAACCCTGCAGAAAGCACCACTTCCTCCTGCTCACGGCAAACTCCGTGTATTTTTTAATATATACATATATTTACACACAAATCAGGAATTCTGAGAAAGCTCTGCATCATTTTGTGCTGTTCAAGTACTGCCAACTGCTGCTTTCAAAACATTTTAAGAGCCTAACGGGGAATTGGACAAAAACTCAAATTGCAGGTGATTTTTCCGCAAAGTCTTTTTTCGTCCCCTGTTGTGCAGTCATTTCTTTTTGCAAGCAGTAAATGGCATTTCTGCTTTTAACTGCTGGATGTGGCTGACAAGCTGCTGTTCAGTCACAGCTTGGACCTGATGTCTCAAAGGCCTTTCCCAACCTAGCTGATTCTGCAGTTCTGTGTTTTGCGGGGTATTTTTTTTTTCTGAAATGTTTGATTCAATTTTAATAGGCCAGCGTTTGTGCGGGGTTTTTTTTAAAAAATTATTTCTAGGTTTCCTTCTGCCTGCCAGCAGCGGTGATGAATGAAAAGCCAGGAAGGGCACAGTGCATCCTCAAAAACTTTATTGGAGCGGCACGGTGCGGGCTGCAAGTACAGTCACGAGTCTAAATATCCCCAACTTCAGCCTCTGCACCATCCCCCTGGGCCCTGCTGCCAGTGCCAGCCCACGGCAGGGCTGTGCGAGGGTCAGGACGTGCAGAAGGACATTCTGCAGGGCAGGGAGGAGGAGGAGGAGGAGGAAAGCCCACGGAGGTGGTGGCACACCCAGGGCTGCGGCAGCCGACCCGTGAGAGGCGCCTGGAACAGCAGGAATGGGGCTCTGCTCCCTGCAGCAACACCTTCAGCCCCCATCCCTCTGTTCCCTGCTGGAGCGCCAGGGACAGGAGGAGTAGAAACAGTGCAAAATAAGATAAAAAGGAGCCCGCCCCTGGACCTGAGCTTTGATCGCTGCTGAGGCTCGCGCGCCTCCTTTCCTTCCCTTCCCCACCCCTTTGTGTTGGTAGCTGTTACATTTGTAATTTGTCCAGTCCAGGAGACTCCTGAAATTATGAGATAACAGTACAGATACAATTGGAAATAATGGTGATACTAATAAAAAAAAAAAAGTCCTGCCCTAGTGTGTTGTAACTACTGCTAAAGGCAGCATCCCAGATACCTGCTCGATGTCCAGACGTGCTGGAAAAAGCGGCTAATCCCCAGTTTCTCACTCTTTAGCCACCCCACAGCTGGCCTGCAGCTTCCCACCAGGAGCTGGCCTGAGCAGAAGGCTGCACAGCCCAGCTGAGGGTAACTAAAGCTCACTATATTCCAGAATACTTAATGCATCCACTGCAACATTGAAAAATGCTAGCACATATGAACTCTTCAGAGATTTACAGGCACTATGTGAAGATTATGTGCAAAAGTCTGCAGATATTTTTTCTCTTTCTTTTTTTTTTTTTTTTTTTTTTTGTTAAACTGCTTCTTTCCTTTTCAGCAACCAGAAAAATAGTTCAATTAAAACATCCCACTTAGGTTATCTCTGTTAATTCTCAGTCTGAACTCAGGGGCTGGAGTTAGGTGGCTTTAGCTGAACTCTTACACACAATACTTCTTGCAGTCTAAAGCCAAAGTCAGCAAAAAAGCTGACATTTAATTACCTTTTCCTTAATTAAATCATTGTTCACCTTGGATCAAACTGAAACCTTTTGGAAAATGTATTATTGAACACTTCACTATCTACTTAGCCTTTGATTTTTTTTTTTTTTTTTTTTTTTTTTTTTTTTTTTTTTTGCATAGCTCTTCTTTGGTGCAATATATTTCCTGCAAATAGAAAGCATTCTTTCCCCCTGAATGCTGAAGGAAATGACAAAAAAGTCAGACTATGTGAGTCAATAAACTGAATTGTTAGGGGAAAGAAACAAACCTGAGTCTACTACTGGGAAAAAAAGAAAAGATGAGAAAAAGTCCAGCAAGTATCACTGTACAAAAACCACCCAGAATAACTATGTGCTTTTGGCATCAGCTTTTGTTCTTCAGGAATAATCATCCACCCACAGAAAGAAGACATTTTACACGATGCAGCAGGATCCTGGTGGGGGGAGACACAAAACAAAAAAATAAAGTCAAGAGTGCTCATACTCTGTTAATTGGAAATAAAACTCACAACGTAAATCTGGGAGAAATTATGGGAACTAAGCCTCCAGGTGGATCCAGAGCAGAGGTAGTGACACAGGATCAATACCCAAAGATCAAAACCCCCAGCTGAGATGTGCTTGATCCTCATTACTCTGTGAAAATGTCTTAGGGAAGCAGCATGTTACACCTTGGAATGCTTGGAATTCCACCAGCCTAAAGGAGTTTGGCAACATGAAGTTGTAAAACTTCAGAAAAAAAAAACAAAAACAAAAAAACCCCAAAACTTAAAAAAAACTTCAAAACTGTACAAACTGAAGGGGTGTGAAAAAAACTTTCCTGCCTGGGAACCCTGAAGTGCAAAGTCATCCCAAGCATTTTGACATAGCAGCAGTTTTAACCATGTCTTGGTTTGGTTCAAGGACTGCCAGCAAAACTCAGCTTTAACTCACGAGCATGAAATTGTCTTTGTGGTAGCCCAGGGAACAGGGAAGAAGAAATCTCACCTGGTAAGGTTAACGTTTAGCTTGCTTTCTGCTTCTCAGATTTGCTGCTGGAGGACTGTCCCTTTGCCTAAAGAGAGGATGAGACAATGAGAAAGTGAACCAAGCTAAAACCTGAAATCAGGCAGTGACAAGACACTCGTCAGAATTACAGTTCAGACATAAATACAAACTGCAACTGAAATACAATAATTTAACAAGAGTATTTGTGACTTGTGCTGAGTGTGAATATTTTCACCTTTTCACCATCAATGGCTTTCTTTAAGACAATGGGTTGTGCCTGACCTCATTATTCCCTGTTCCCTTTTATCCACCCCAGTGATCAGGCCACAGCTCAGAAAGTCCTCCTGAATAGGAGATAAGGACACCCCTCAGTTTTACACTGAGAACTGCAAATCAGTTCTGGGGTCTCAAAAAAGGCACCTGTGGTGATTTAATAATAACAACAACCAGAAATCCCATCACTGACATGTGAAATGTAAAATTCCCAGAGCAGATGTAATCATCTGATTCAGGCATCTATTGCACGTATCCTCTGTGAGAACAATATGATGGAACAAGCTTCACCCTGACCTGAATCAACTTCCTCTACTTCTGGATTAAAAAAAAAATCCAAGCAACCCTTTTTACCTTCCCCTTCTCACCCCTGTTTTTGAATATAGAAACAGCTGCCTGCCTTTCCCCACCATGTTCATTCATAGTTTTTTAATGAAAGTATGTGGGTCTTCATTAATTTAAAAAATAATTATGTTAGTAACTTGAGAGCCTGGCTGGGGTTGTAGGAGTACTTTTTAATCACTTTTGGATGCTGTTACTCAAAACTGTCAAGAAATGAGAGAAGTGGTGGGGATCCTGTGCCTGAGACAGCTACAGGCAGGCAAAATGGGACCCTTAGATCTACAAATCTGGGAAGGAGAACCTGTGGAGCATGCCCCCAAAGCCCCCCCTCAGAGAACAACACTCTGTCTGAAATGTACATATTTTTTGCCCCTGTTTATTGCCAATTTCCCTTGAAATAGAAAGGGGCCTTTCTCCTCTGTGCATGTTTACAAAAATGGATCTCAAAATAACAAAAGAGAGAGTTTACAAAACCTCTCCCCAAAATAACAACCCTATAATATAAGTCCAAAATCCAGCTGCCCCTGTTGTATGCCTGTCCATAGTATAATAAATGTGTCTGTACCGTTTTAGGGTCTCTGGGCTTTCCTTTATCCTTTGAGCTTGGTTTAGTGGTCGTAGATTCCTTTCCACTTTTGTCCTACACTCCAAAGAAAAAAATAATTACAGTTACAAGGAGAATAGAGCATCGGTGGCTCCTGCTTTGACATCTGCCAAAACACAATCTTTGGAAGGGTTTGGCAGCAACACAGGCTGTGCTGACAGGAGACTGCATCAGAAAAACCTGGTAGAGATGGGCAGGTTTTGTATTTACTACTGAGGAATAATGCTGCAGCAGCAGATTTAGCCCTGGGTTTCATGAGCAGATGAAGCAGCTCTTGAAACACCAGTGGTCCTGTCTTCAGCTGCCTGAGGGAAGCCCCTGGGGAAGCACTGCAGTGGCCAGAAGAGCTGTTTGGAAACAGCTCTTTCAGGAATACAGCTGATTTGAACATCAGTTTCAAAGCTGCTGCTCCTTTTCTCAGTTAAAGGACCTCTGGAGCCCATTCCTTCTGCTTTCTTCTTGTCAACTCTACTGTTTTCCCTAACACATCTGAAAGTCTTTGCTGCTCCTTGCTTTTCCCCCTACAAAACCCTCTTGTGTCTCAGCTCCCAGCCAGCAACCATTGCTACACAGTGCCTGCTGTCATTGAGCAAAGGTTTCTCTGCCT